GGGGAAGACCCCCAATGAGATGAATTGGCACAATGGCGGCAGCAGTGGACTTAAGTGTAACAACAATTATGAAGATGGTATTTTTGTTGTGCTGAGTCAGAACCAACTCAACAGCATCTAACAACAACAACAATTGAGAGAGAGAGAGAAAGGCAGAGAGAGAAACAGAAAGAGAGGGTTTTATATCAAGGAAATGGTTCACACAGTTGTAGATGCCGGCAAGTTCCGTGTCTGTGGGTCAGATGTCAGGCTGCAAGCTTCCTAACTCATGTAGCTACAGGTGCTGATGAAGCGAAGATCAGCAGGTCAGAAGGCTCTCATGAGCACCTTGGCCTGTCGGGGCCAAAGTACATGGCTTGATTTCCTCTTTTTGGCTGCAGAGGCAAATGACTCCAAGGTTGGCAGGTAAGATGACAGGCTGCTGATTGATGACTCCTAGGATCTCCAGGCAATACGGCAGGCTCCTGACTTGAGTTAAGAAAACCAGAAGTCAGATGAGGAGCCAAACACAGCACAAAGCAAATATATTTTGCCTGGGTGTTTAATATATTAAAAGCAGGCCACACCCTTGAGAACATTCCTTTCAATTGATTGGCTGCTCAAAGCAGATGTCATCATGTAAGAGATTACATTATATTAGATCTCATCATGGGTATTACTACATCTTAACTGCCAAACTCTGAATCCTGGCTCAGTCAAGTTGATGCAAAACCTTAGCCATCACAGGGGGAACCTGGATGTCCTGTCTCTTAGGAGTAGAGGACACAACGCCATGTGTGCTGAAGGAGCTCCTGCCCCCACACCCTCACTTTCCCTAAAACACGTACCCAGTGACCCAGAGGTGCTTTGGGGCCAGCCCCACGAGGCTCCCAGCACTGTGCCCACACTCAGGAGTGGGAAAGGAAATCAAGCCATGTATTTTGACCCCAACAGGCCAAGGTGCTCATGAGTCCCCAGTGGGTCATAGCAGTGGGTGTGGCAGAGGGCATGGAGCCTACATGGTTTGAGAAACCAGACTCTGTTATGGGGATACCAGACTCCCAGCCTCACATGTCCTGGGTGATTCCTCCACAAAAGCCAAACTCTAGGTCTGTGTCCTGGATCAAGGCTATAATCCATGTAACTGGCATGGATTTCTGCCTCCAGCTATCGGGGTGCCAGAAATAGCATGCTTATAATTTTTCAGTTTTGTTTAACAATTGGGGCTTCAAGCCTCCATGCCGCCAGGCTAGCAATGAACTCATTCTCCCCTCACTCTCAGGCCTGTGTCAGGGTCAGGCTTTGCACTGAGGAGACCCTCTGAGATCCACAGCCAGCCCAGCTGTTCCCATGTATTCTTTCCCACTGTTTCTCAGAGGCCCCCTGTTAATGGACTGAATTGTGTTCTCAAAGAAGATTTGTTGAAGTCCTAACCCCAGATGCCTGTGAACATGACCTTGTTTGGAAACAATGTCTTTGAAGATAATATCAGTTGCAATTAACATGAAGTCTTACTGGAGTATAAGAAGTACAGTGCCCAGCAGTTAAACACTCAACAGCTATCCAAAAGGTTGTTCTGTGAAAGAATGATTTAGTGATCTCCTCCCATAAAGATTACATCCTAGAAAATCCTATGGAGCAGTTCCGGGGTCACCATGAATTGCAATCAATGGAACACAGCAACAACTTACTAGAGTAGGGTGGATCCTAATTCCATCTGAGTGGGGTCCTTATAAAAGAGAAGAGACACGGAGACCGAGAGACAAAGTGATGAAAAGTCTATAAGCCAAGAAAGTCCAAGGAATGACTAGGCCACCCGAAGGTCAAAAAAAAAAAAAACAAGGAAGGAAGTTCCCCTGAGCATTCCCACCTGAACTTGGACTTCTAGCCTCCACAATAAATTTCTGTCTTATAAGACACTCAGTTTTAGTATTTGTTACAGCAGTCCTAGGAAGTGAATGCACTCTCCTCTCCTCATCCAGTGATGGCTGACCAAAGTCAGACAGAGCCTCGGACCCTGGTACTTCTGTTCTTCAGCCTTGCCCAGAGCCCTGGGTAACAGGAACCTTTGTGGGCCCAGACATCTGCTTTAAAGCAGGGAGAAGGAAGAAGATGCACACGCACACACTCATGCATTCAAATACAAATGCACATATTCACAGTTACACACTCACACACACACACATTTTTCAGTAAACTATCCTGCTTCAGGGAGTCCTGGAATAGCACTATAGGATAAGTACTGGACTGCTAACCGCAAGGTCAGCAGTTCAAACCCACAAGCTGCTCCTAACCCTATGCAGAGTTGGTAAGAATCAGAACCAATTGGGCAGCACTTAACAACAACAGCAATCTTGCCTCAGACCTGATTCGTGGCTAGTCTCCTGTCTCTCCTGAAGTGCAGGGAGTGGTCTGGGAATTCTTGAGGGGTTTTGAGGTTGACTTTTGCAGGAAAGTGCAGTTTCTTGAAATACAATCACAGTGAAGTACCACCTGTCTTTCTATCACCTCCAAGCCCAGCACAGAGCCTGGTGTGCTGTGGGTGAGAAGCTAGAGATTAGAAATATGATTTAAAACTGCAACCTAGTGTATGCAACTTTCCCTCACCCATCTGTCAGTTTGTCATACTGTGGTGACTGGCATGTTGCTATGATGCTGAAAGCTATGCCACCAGCATTTCAAATACCAGCAGGGTCACCCATGGTGGACAGCTTTCAGTGGAGCTCCCAATCTAGGAATAAAGCTCTGGCATTCTATTTCTGAAAATTAGACAATGAACCTAAAGGATCCCAACAAAACATTGTCCAATAGAAAGCTGGAAAATGAGTCCTCTATGTTGGAAAACCCACTGCCATCAAATCAAGTCCAACTCATAGCAACCTTATAGGACACTCCATAGGGTTTCTGAGACTGACAGTCTTTATGGGCGCAGACTGCCACATCTTTCTCCCTTGGAACAGCCAGTGGGTTTAAACTAATGTCCTTTCAGTTAGCAACCCAACACTTTACCCACTGTACCACCAGAACTGCTTCTTAGGCTGGAAGGCACTCCAATATACATACGGCCACAGCAGTAATAATCATACTAATCAGCATACTAATCATCCTGGGATGATGGGATAAGACCAGACAATATTTTCTTCTGTTATATGGCAGGCCAACGTATCAACTAAAACTGACTCAATGGCAACTGACAACATAAGCAATGTGACTTCTGCACACCTTTACTTCTGACATCTGAGAAAATGGGAGACTTCAGGAATAGATAGACTCAGAGGAACTGGAGGAAAGGAATGAAAACTGAGGCAGAGAAGAAGGTAAAGAGGCATCAAAACTGTTTCCAGTGAGCTCTAGGAGAGATGGCAGGGATAGGGAATATCAATCGAAGCTGAGACCTTAGCTCCAACAGTAGGAGGTGAAGCTCAGGCAAGAGGGACCAGGGCCCGAGTGGTTCTGGCACAGTGAAGGCAGGGCCCTTTGGCTGGGAAGAGGACTGACTGTGTCTCCAGTCACATAGAGCTCTTCCCTGCTTCAGCATCTCAGCCAGCCAGGTCGCCGGAACGGATGTGGAGTGGAGGAATAGAAAGTGGAGACAGGATGACTTGCATCCTGAACTCTGAAAGGCTTAACACATGTGAGTGGAGGGCTGAGAATGGAAAAGAATGTGTGTCTGTGTACACATTATCTTCAATAAATCATGACATATTTATGAAATGTGGGGAAGGGAGGTACTGAAGGTACTAGTGAGCATGGTGCCCGCTATTCCTGAATTTAGCATCTATGATTTATGGTGTTGGCAAAGAATATTAAATATACTTAAGAACTACCAGAAAAATTTACAGCTCTGCCTTGGAAGAAATACAGCCAGTATTCTTCTTGGAAGTCAGTATGGAAAGACTTCATCCCTTATTATGGACATATTGTCAGGAGGGCCCAGTCCCTGGAAAAGAACATCATACTTGATAAAGTGGAGGGTCAGAGAAACCGAGGAAGACTCTCAATGAGATGGATTGATACAGTGGCTGCAACAATGGGCTCAAACATGGCAGCGGTGAGACTGATGGGGGACCAGGCAGTAGTATGTTCTGTTGTACATAGGTGCTATGAGTTGGAAATGGCTTGATGGCATGTAACAAACACAAAAATAAACAACCAACAGAACAATAACATGGTATGGTCTTTATCTGGGGTGTTTCTATGCTGTTTTATTTTGTTGTTGTTAGCTGTTGTCAAGTCTACCCTGGCCTCTTGATGACCACATGCACAATAAAACAAAATACTGCCCAGTCTGGCACCATGTCCTTGATTGGTTGCTAATCTGCCTGCAGTGATCCATAGGGTGTTCACTGGCTGGTCATCAGAAGTAGATCGCCAGGCCTTCTTTGCTAGTGCATCTTACTCTGGAAGACACACCTCCACTGACAGACAGGTGGAGCTGTAATGAGAAGCATTGGCTGGGAGTCAAACCTGAGTCCCACACGTAGGAGGTGAGAATTCTACTTCTGAATTCTACCACAGATCATTTTATTTTTAGTGAATATTAAAAAGTATTTGCCATGGCTTATGTAAGATCATTCCCACCCTCAACCTTATTTTCTTTCATAAGTCTGAAGTTTCTCAACTATAAACTCTTCTACCTCAAGAGTCTCCAGGTAGTAAGACCTTCTGATGGGGCAAGGACTCCTATAAGAATAGGTGGGTGAAAGTGTACTTGTGAATGAATAAATGAGCAGATGATTGAAGTATTTAATGAATGAATGTGTGAGAGACGAGGAATTCAGGCAATGAGGTGGAGGATAGAGGATCCGGGGCTCAGTAGTCCCAGAAAAAAAGACGTGTCTCCCTTTTCTCTTCCTCCACTGGCTGGGGGGAAGGCTCTGCTGTTTGTTAAGTGTTGTTGCACGGTGAACGTGATTGACCCAGGAAAGTCCTGCAGATTGGGAAGCTGGCCACTGACAAACTGAATCAAGCCCATAGGTTTTCCTTCTCAACAAGACTATCTGCCTTGTTTTCCTGTCTAGGTCCCCCTGGACGGCGTGGCAAGCCTGGACGAAGAGGTGATCCTGGTAAGTCTAGGTTTTCTCATTTCCTAAACCAAGACTGGGACCTGGTGGGGGTGTCTGGCCCATCCTACCCAATAGTCACAACTCTTGGTCCTGGGTGAGGTCTTCTTCTCCCTTCTAACTCCAGTCATTGTCCCTGGAGCCACATCGCCCAGCAGTGCTTCTTCGTGTCTCCTAGACATCTACAATCCCAGCAGTTGTCTCACAGTGCCCTCTGCCACTCCCTGAAACCAGTCCCCAGTCCCCTCTCAGTGATGAATTCCTCAGCACGTGACCAGCTTATCTGGGTGTCTCCTCTTCTTCCCTGAACTTGGTCCATTCTCCTTCTAGAGAGCAGACCCACCAGGGGAAGACTCCTGCACCTTCTTCCATACAGTTTACACTCTCCCATACAACTGCCCCTTCCCTGCCTTCCTCCCTCTTCTCTCCTTCCCTGGAACCTGCTCTTCACCCTGCCATTCCTGGCCTTTCCCTCTTCACTTCACCTCTTTCCTCTGCCTATAAAAGCCCCCAAGACTTTCCCCTCAAAGTAACTCCCTCTGAACTTGCCCCCATAGTGTCCCCTTCCCTCCTCCCTCATCGGCTTTCCTGAGGCTTTACCTTGTCTCCTTAGCTTTGCCTTCCATGCAGCCATAGCCACCCCAGCTTCCTCGTCATTCATTCCACTGAGAGTGTCCTGGCAAGAGTCAGCCATGGCCTCCACACGGCCACACCAGCAGGCACTTCACTGTCTTTTTGTTGTGGTATATATGTATATATATATATATATAGAGAGAGAGAGAGAGAGAGAGAGAGAGAGTGAGTCCTGGTGTGACACTGTAGGATAAGCAATGAACTGCTAACCACAAAGCTAGTGGTTCCAACCCACCAGTTCTTGTTTTTATTAAATGCTGTTGAGTCAGTTCTAACTCATAGTGACTCTGTATAGGGTTTCCAAGGAGTAGCTGGTGAGTTTGAACCGCCAACCTTGTGGTTCAAAATGACCTTGAGGTCAAATGCTTATCTTATGGCGCCACACCAGGACTCCAATAGATACACAGATAGATAGATACATAGAAGGAAGATAGATAGATAGATAGATAGATAGATAGATAGATAGATAGATAGATGGTGGTGGTTATGTTCCGTGGAGTCGAAACCGACTCATAGCGACCCTGTACAGGGTTTCCGAGGCTCTAAATCTTTACAGGAGCAGAAAGCCTCATCTTTCTCCTGCGGAACAGCTGGTAGTTTCAAAACTGCTGACCTTAAGGTTTGCAACCCGATTTGTAACCACTATAGGATAGATAGATAGAACAGACTTTTTCCAATACAACATTTTTTACAAGTATAATTCAGTAATATTAATTACATTCATCATGCTGTGCAACTCTTACCGCTATCTTTTTCCAAATTAGTCCATATCCCTTATCATAAACTCAGTGCCCCTGACAATATGTCCAATATGAAGCAATAACTGCCCATTTCCTTCCATTTCTGCTCCTGATTACCACAAATAAGCTTTGGTCTCTGTGCATTTGCCTATTTCATAGAAGTGGGATCATATAGTAAGAATAGTTGTTCTTCTGTCATTGACTGATTTCACTCAGCATGTGTTCAGGATTCATCCATGTTGTGGCTAGCATGTATCAGAATTTCATTTCTCTTGATGGCTGAATATTCCATTGTGTGCATATACCATATTTGGTTTATACACTCCTCTGTTGATGGACACTTAGGTGGTTCCCACCTTTTGCTTCTTGTGACTAGTTCTACAGTGATCATTGGTGTACGAGTATATATTTGTGTTCCTGCCTTCATTTCTTTTGGGAATGTCTTTATCTTCTTGACCCTCACTGTTGGCCACTCCCTCCCTCTATGTTCCTGTGGCCCAGCTTTACTCCCACACTGCTGGATTTTTATAAGGCCTAGTTGTCCCTTAAGTGCAGGACTCCCCAAGAATCATCCTTTGGCCCTTCTCTCTTCTCTGCCACAGTGTCCCAATTCTGTGGCTTCAGTTACCACCGTGACACCAACAATGGCCACCTTCCTACCTCCAGCTCAGTCTTCTCCTCTGAGCACTGCTGGCTGGACATAATACCCCTGCTGAACCTTGCAGAACCCCAACCTGCCCTCCTCACAGGGTGGATCTCCAACCACCTCTCCCCTAGGCAGACCCCTGGGTATCATCCTGTGCCCCTCCCTTCCCACTTCTCACATCATGTCCTGGCCACTCTCCTCCTCAGTTTGTCTTCCACCTTTGCCCACTTCTATGTCCCCACCATTATAACTCCCTGTAGCTCTCAGTGTCCCAGGCTCCCCAACTCCAGCCCCCGACATATCCATGATACCCTCTCCTTTCACAAGAGCCTTCAATGTGTGTCCTCCCCTGCCCAGAATGTCTCCTTCTCCACTCTGCCCCTGGTTCATCCTTTTTGTCCTTCAAGCCTAGCTCACATATCTCCTGCAAAAACAACAACAACAAAACCATCTATCTCTCCAACTGGGGACTATCACCCTGAATCTCCAGCTTCTAGCAATGAGTATGCATAAATTCAGGGAATAAATGGACTAATATATAAGTTGTGCTTAAACCCCAAACCCAAATCCATTGCCATTGAGTCAGTTCTGATTCGTGGCAACCCCATGTGCTGCAGAGAACTAACTCCATAGGACTTTTACTGGTTTCCCTCTTTCAGAAGTAGACCACTATGCCTTTCTTCCAAGGTACCTCTGGGTGAATTTGAACCACCAACCCTGTAATTGACTTATTGAGTAGTAGCCATCTAGGAAACTTGACAAGGAGGCCTCATCAACAGAAGGAGTCTGGCTGACTAGCTCCAGGAGAATCCAGGACAGGTTCTCATGTAGTCTCGGACTTTTCTCCCTGGAGCCAGCCTTCTTTTCCTGGTTCAGCTGCTTGTTCCTTCAATAAAGACCCTCCAAACAAACTCCCTAGAATTCACTTTGTGCTTCAACTTCCAGACACTGAGGCTGTTTTGTGTTAAGCTGCTTTTGTTGTTGTTAAGTGTCATCGAGTCGGTTCTGACTCATAACAACCTTGCATAGGGTTTCTGAGGAGTGGCTGGTGAGTTTGAACCACCCACCTTATGGTTAAAAGTCCAGTATTGATCCTACAGCACCACACCGGGACTCTAAAGGCTTCCTGCTAGAGCTTCCTTTAGTCTGTGTGTGAGAGAGAGACACGCTTCTGCATTATCGTGCCTCCAGATCCACACTACATCACTCCGTTCTTGTCTTCTTCCCTCATAATAGGTTTCATTGCCTTGTAATATAAACTCCTGTCATCCTTTTGGAAAGATATGAGAAAATATCTAAAATATAACTTATTTTAGAGCAAAGTATGAAATTATTCAATGTGCTCAACATACTCAAAACCCCATTCAAATTATCAACTCCAGTTTATAATAAGACAAGGAATTATAGAATGCCTGTAATTGTGCTAGGTCCCTTCATATACTTCACCTCATGTGTTCGTCACATTACAAAGTAAAAATGCATGGTTATCCCCATTTTGCAAGTAAGGAAACTGAGGATCCAAAGGAAAAAGTATCTTGTCTTAGGCCGGCTGCTTGGCAAGGCCCAGGCAGCACCTCCTCTCCTTCGCTTCCCTTTTCTTCTGTCGGTCCTGAATTTCCTGTATGTCAGAGAATGGTGTGAACAGAAAAGAACAGCTGTCCCTCCCTGTTTGGCTTTGACTGGACCTAGTGTTTGTGTCTAGATAGTTTAACACACATGCATATCCTGACTTCAGTTCCTTTCCCTGTGTATACCAGGCCTTTTCCTACCCCAGTTGAGCCTAGGGAGAAAGGCTCAGTTTTGCCTGGTGGGACAGGATCTGACTGAGATGTCTTTGGCAGCTGCTCCAGGCCTGCAGAGAAGGCTGACCCTGCCTGCCAGCAAAGCAGATTTTCTCAAACTCCCAGAGGACGCCTTTGTCTGAAAGGCCATGGGGCCCTGCATCTCTGTTTGTAGTGGAATGGATTTCTCACCTCCATTTGGGTCTGTTTCTTGCCTTGGAAATGCATGTGGCTGGACCAGTGGAGCCCAACCCTCTCCCTATACTCTGGAGTCATCTCTCTAGGGATCTAGGGGTGTAGGGCAGGACACTTTTTCCTCCAAGATCCCCCTTACTCCCAAAAGAATCCATCCTTCTCCTGGCTCCCACAACTTCAGATACCTCTCTGTGTTTTAGTATTTCCCACACTTGGTATGGTTGTCTGCAAACTTGTCTTTCCCCTCCCACAAAGCATGGCATCCTCAGAGAAGGAACTGTATCTGGATCCCCAATGCTCAATAAATGCTTGTTGAAAGGAAAGAGAGAGAAAGAGGGAGATGTGGGCAAAGGAAGTTTGGAGGGGAGGGTCCAGAGACAGGTGAAGTCCAGGATGCGGTTATGAAATGTTGTTTGTGCAGGTCAAGCCTGTATTAAGTACACAGAGACAAATAGAGATACTCTCTAGATCTCTCTGCAACTTCCAGCTGCTGATCAGCAGTTTCGGTGCTAGGCTTTTTATCTACTCCTTTGTGGCACCATGGGCTAATGCACTGGACTACAAAATCAGTTTGATCAGCAAGGTTGGCGGTTCAAGCTCACCAACTGCTCCTTGGAAACCCTATGCAGGGTTGACTTGGAATCAACTCAACGGTGCTTAACAACAACAAAACTCAGTGGAAGGAGTACTTCTGGAACAGTGGAGTAAGAAATTCCAAAAATCTATCCCTCCATAAAAGCAATGAGCACCCTGGAGAAAATAAACTTTTTTAGTACTCTAGAAATGACTGAAAGGTGGCTGATAGCAACCTGAGAAACTTTTATTAAAGAAACTGGACTGAATCTTGGTAAGATCAGCAAGTTTTGTAGCACTTTAACTTGCCCTATTCCCATTAACTTTTCCCCAGCTCCACCGGTAGCCTTGAAAACCAGCAACCTAACAACCACACCTATGAAATCCAGCACACTAGCAGCCACTGGAGAGTCAGAACAGGTTTGGAACTCACCA